CGGAGACGAGCGCACTAGCCATGAGGCCACAACACCTCCCAGAGAGAGAACCTTAGTGCGCTTATTGGTCGAGAGTTATGATGGATGAGAGGATGGATCAGAAATATGGCGTTACCTGTAACGTAACGCAAAGCCATTTTCTCGGAAACTTGAGAATAATTTTTCAAAGGAAACGGAAACAAAGGAGTTAGGAAATGGAAATTGGGACAGGTGGCGTAAAATTTTAGATGAACTTAATATAATGTCCTTAAGCAAAGAAGGCTGTCTCACGATTCGTTACGTACATATACGATTTTGCACTGACTTTTCCCTGACTGATCGGCAACCTTTTGTGGTGTCGGAAAACAGTAAATGAACCACATTTTTTCATAGTCCACACTCTTATATACCAAAGATATTACTACACAAAATGTGTAGTGGAACCAATAGGCCCACTTGAGGTTTGAAAATTTAAGACCACATTTCTGTGATCTTGAAGGCTTGGGTCCTTTATGTGAAGACTCGAAGGCAAATGTGAAATTTTGAGGACAGTGCAGATGTACGGTTTTCATTCTACGTTCCTAGCTTCTATACGATTTCCATTCTACGTTCCTAGCTTCTATAAGCATAACCGACAAGTCTGTACTCCCTAAGCTTTAAAGTATAGTCTGAAAATTTCTTTCCTTTCTTCGTGGGACAAGAGAGCATGGCTTATGTTATGCTAAGTAAAAGCCCAGGTGGGACTCTATAAATCTTTGGGTAGGGGTGTGCCGCTGGCACACTGAAACCCTTACCCTAAACTAGACCATGATCAGCTTGATTTTGCAACCCTATTCTAAGCCAGGCACCAAAATCTCCTACCCCATCCTAAACTAGCTATTTCCAATTCAGAAACTTTAGTATCGTAGCGCAACATACACTAACTAAACCAATATCTTACAACGTCACTTCAGAGCTTCAATCTCTATTATGCAGATTATGGAACCCCAGGTGACGGCCCCTGTTTTTTTTAAATCTATAGCTTGCAGCCCTACAGTCTCATCTGTTCCTCTAAGATCGTAGCTTTCCTAGAACTCTGTTCTCGAACAACCACAAGGTATTTTTTTCACAATGCCGTTGAATGACAGCAGAACTTAAATCACTGACGTATTTAAACGTTTATACTGTGTTCTCTCTTACCAGCATCTTGGGAAACCAAAACGGCTGCTAATGCCACTGAGCCTATAAACAAAGAACTAAGAACAGCCACGCGAAGGGAGAACCAACGTTCACAAGCCACTACCATGACAAACGTCTGGTTATGAGTATCTTGATGTCTGCAGAAAGATATTTAATGGTAGTAAGTCGTATTGTGATACATACTGGTCAACTGCCAACTGTGCTCAAGGTGCAATAAGGTTAAATAAAATCCGTACTCAGGCTCACCAATAATTCATCTAGTTTAAATAAAGGAAATCATGGCCGTAACAGTGTTTGAATATCCGGTCTTAATTAGCATAAATTTGTACGATTTTATTTCTACGTTTTCTGCTAAGTTTTTGTTTTGATTGAGAAGGTATATCAAAGAAACTCTTGACCACATTTCCAAAAACTTCGAAGTTCGTCAAAACACTCCTGCAGGCGTCGTGTTTTCGAATCTTTTCTCGTTGTGTGATGTGATCAAACACGGTCTTTCTGGTTTGATATATTACTTCAAAGCCCTAAAACCCCAACGTGTGTTGGTTGTAGGAAGAGGTTAGGTGGATTTAGCTATAGTAAGTGAGTAAGTGAATGATTGTGTGAATTACAGAAAAAGTACGAGATGGCAATCAAAAAAAAAATACTTATCAGCTAATCGGAGATGAAATCGAATGTATACCTGTAAAACTGATGCAAAAAATCTTTTTGTCGTCCTCTTGTTCTTATGGTGTCCAGGCCATTCAGTGTCTCCGAAATGTGCGAGAAGACTGGACTACGGTTTACAGACTCAAGCCTTTTCAACTGTCTGGAGGTCTTCAAGTAATACCTTCCAATGTAGACGATTATTGCAATCAGCGGCACAATTGCAGCCAGTAGCCAGTAATTTGCCACAATCGGCAAAAGACAGGATGCAAACGTCACTGAGCTGTACTGGATTGCCATCAGAAATGTTTTTGGTAATAGTTCATCCATGCAGCCCACATCTTTAGAGAATCGATTAAGAATTCTGCCCACGGGATTCGAGTCAAAGAACAGAACCGGTGCTTGTAAAATAGCCACCACCATTTTGTCATGAAGGCGTTCAGAACATTTCAAGGAAATCGAAAGGAATCCGTACCCTCTGAAGATGGCAAATATGAAGGAGCCAACAACAAGGCAACCATAGATGGTTAAGTTGACTGGGTCTCTTTGATTTTTGTGATGTTCCTTTGTCAAATAGGAGAGCCACACATCGGGAGCAACTGCCATTGCTGGGAGACAGAAGCACACATATTCAATGTCATGATAACTTACTGAAAAAGTGGAGATAACTGTGGTATCGATACAACACTATAATGTGGCTAGTGTTAGCTTACCTTGAGCAATGACACACAGCAAGACTATAGCCAGTAGCACTAAGGAATGCACGCCACTTCTGAAGTAGTTCCAGTAAAGCTTGGATGACACGACTCCAATTACACGATCTTCTTACTCTATTTGAAGACTTCTGGCTTCATTGCCTGCACGAGCATCAGCAAAATAACTTTTGTCTCCTTTTTTTTCAACCACGCCATCGGATTCGTTTATCTCCAGAACGGTCTTGCAAAGTGGATCAGCCGCTATACTTAAAATGTTTTTCTCTTGAAGCTCAATAAAACGACCTTTGCCGAGCACGAGACCTTTATCAAGCACAATAACTTCATCAGCTTCTTTCATATATCGCTCTTCGTGACAGATGAGAACCCGGGTTTTATCGCCCAGTAAACCTTTAATACATTGTCTAAAGATATGTTGACCAACCTTAAAATCCACAGCAGTCAGAGGGTCGTCCAACAAGTAAATGTCTGCATCGGCGTACACTGCACGTGCTAAACTTACTCTTGCCCGCTGGCCTCCACTTAGAACTGCACCACATTCACCAACAACCGTCTGGTCGTAATCAGGGAATTGTTGGACGTCTTTCATTAGTGCACAAGAGTTAAGAACACTGTTGTATTTGTCTTCGTTATATGCCTGACCGAACAAAACGTTTTCACTTATGGTTCCGGAAAAGATCCAGGCTATCTGAGGCACATAGACAAGACTCCCTCGGCAGGTGACTATTCCGCTTATGTCTGATACTTCGCCAGCGATCGCTGAGAGTAGCGTCGATTTTCCACTGCCCACCGGTCCTGTAATTATTGTCAAACCTCCTGGAGTTGTAGTGAATCCTACATCTTGTAGAATAGCTTTCATTTCTCGCTCGAATGGTTTGTATGTCAAATTTGACACGCAGACTGCCGGTTTGCCCTTAAGTTCATCAAGGCTCCGGAGAGCTTTTGGAGTTTCTTCTCGATCAAATATCTGACCACTTCCAATCTTTCCCGAACTTTCTAAGGGGTCATTTGTGCCCTCTGAGTACCGATTACATGAAAGGGATTGTAGATTGTCTAAAAGAAGAAAATTCTCTATTCTGTTCAAAGACACATATGCCTCGTATGTTGCCAGCAGACCTTGGGCTAAGCGATGGGATACGCCCAGTCGTAGAATATTGATGAAAGCGAGCAGCATAAAGGCATTAACAGGTGTGATGGGCTGGTCAGTTAACACAAGAGAGATGACAGACACCAGGGTCGCCATAGCAGCAGATGCGTATTCCAAGCCAGCTAAAGCTGAAAGAATTATATTCTTCTTATGGATGATGCTGATTTCATTTCTGAAAACAAATCAGCAGGCATTTTGTGTTACGAATATGACCAAAACGTATATTACAAATATACGTTTTACCTAGTTCGTAATACGAATATTACAACCGAACTCACAGTGTGACCAGCTCCCAGTTGGCTTGATAGCTCAGTTGGTAGGGCACTGGACCGGTATCGCAGAGGTCATGGGTTCAAATCCCGTTCAAGCCTAAATTCTTTGCAGGCTTAATTTCACAACTGCTTAATTTTTGTTCATAACTGTGATGATCAATCATGTCTTAATATCGTTCTTCGCAGTTCAATTATATGATATCTCATATATTTACTTGCACCTCATATATGCTAAAATATATTCATTCATGCAGATGTTTTGCGAACTATTTTTCAGGTTACGCCCTCGGTGTTGAAACACTGTTTGCCACCAGCCCACACTGTACTATGTTTTGGTCATGGTCTTCGAAGTAGATGCTACAAGCATTCTGCCGGTTCTATGATTGATTTCCTAATACTATATTTGTTGTGAGAGAAACTGACTTTCCTGCAACCAGCGAGCTCATCTAAATTAAACTAAGGAAGTACTTTCCCAGACCAGAACCTATTATTACATTATTGTAAAGCGTGGCTTGGGAAGGGGGAAGGGGTGGGGGTTGATAGAGAAGGGGAGCCTTAGTGGGAATACGAACACCACAGAAGATGAACTTGAAATAGTAACTGGAGTTTTTTCCTAAGTGGTCCATGCCGGCGCATTTTTCTCCCTTTAAACCTTAAAAATAGACGTTTACGAGACAAAATGACAACCGTTTACCTTCGTGTAATTTTTATCTCGTCTCGATACTCGTTCTCCCACGCATGCGTTTTGATAGCGCGGATTCCGCCAACGGCCTCATTGATGGTAGAGATGCGTTGGTCAGACACATCAGCTGTGCGCAGGCGTAGTTGTGCACTTGCAGAGGATAACAGGACTAAATATGGTATGAGGAATAGCAGAAAAAGGACTCCCATAAGTGCCTGCCAACCAATCAGGTACACGACTAAACACGTGGCTACAATAATGTCAGAGGTCAAAGGAACTACGTGGGCGATCCACTTGGGAGCTTCTTCCATTCGCTGCACATCATTAGACACGAGATCAATCACATGGCCAGTGGTAAAACCCATTAATGTTTGCTTGCTGAGAAGAGTGGTCTAAAAACAGGAAAAAATAAAACTTAAGTCAAGAAACTTACTTCATGGATGGAGCCAAAAGAGGATGAAAGGTGGGTAAAATATTTGAATCGAGAGGGGTACAATCCAGGGAGTAATCCCGCAAGTAATTTCAAAATTGGTCGAGCGCGAAGCGCAAGGCCGATTTGAAATTAAGAGCACGATTACTCCCTGAATTGTACTATTAAGAAAGTCTTTGGAGAACTTCGTTTGAGCGAAAAAGTGAGTAACGCTTTCCATAAGTTTTCAAAGTTGTAGGAAATATTCTGAGTAATCGACGTGCGAATAGCGAAGGTATCCAATTACAGGCACCTGATTACAACTTGTTGTAATTGGAAACCTGCAATTTGAGAACCACGTGATCGCGCGCCGATTAAGTGAAATAGGCGCGCGGAGAACCAATCACGATCGAGAATTTTGTCATAGATAAGATTAGAGAGTGAGTCCTCCATGTAGGTCTTATTCTCAAGAGAAACCGTCTTAAGTTATTTTTAGAAATGGTACCCAGTTCTAGCCCCGCGCGTTGCGTGGAAGTTTTCGAGTAGGATGGAAATCCGTGTAGAGCCGTTTTTGCTATCCACGTGAACAAAACCCGCGCCACAAGTGAAAAGGTTTGTATCAAAGCTAGGTCACCTCCAGCCTCGCTTACAGCTGCTATATATTGACAAACCATGGTTCGACCAAACGCGGCTGATATGCCACAATATTCAGGGACCGCGGAGGGGCTGGTAGGGCTACAGCCCTACCACCTTTATTGCTGGGATTGATTTTCTAGGGTTCCATTTGGTATGGATAAAATATGGATTTTACTACTTGAAAGTAATATTGGCCGGTAGTATTGGCCAGAGTTTTTAGCCCTAACACTTTAAAATGGTCTCCGCGGTCCCTGATATTAGGTATTTAAGTATCATTATTACTGTTGTCGTCATCCATTACTGAGGCTATTAATTAAGGCCATGGTTTTCGGGACACGGGATCTTAAGACAAAAAATGAACGGGATACGGGATACTTGAAGGGGAAATTAATGAATATGGGATATTTAAAACAAATATCCCGGGGATTTTGAGTGGGAAAATTGTCAATCGTGAAGGATCAAATTAACGGGATACGGGGATATATAGGCCAAACATTAATGGGATAAGGGTTACTTAGACCCCTCCCCCTTCCCCCCGGTAATGGGACTGCATAATCTCTGTTTGAGGTACATTATCTTAAGTTACCTTTATGTAGACGAGGCCCTTCAAGGCACTGCAAAGTTTAACACCCAGCAATGCACTCCTGTAAAAATACTGATGCATGCAGATGTTCTTGATAAAATAATTAGCAGCCATTGCTAATGCACAAATGTAAAGAAGAACATTTTCCTGTGGCTCCTCTGCTGAAATTAATGCTGAAACAACAAATCCAAGAAACAAGGGTTGAAGAATGCGACAAACTGAATCCAAAAACCCAGTCAAGACAATGATGAAAGCTTCTTTTACAGACACTGTTTTAATGACGCTTCTCCAGAGCTTCGGTTTTTTGCCGTCACGTTTGCAGCTTGCTTTCTCGTCATTCCATTTTGTTTGGAGCTTTTCTGTCGCTGGACGGGTTTGGTTTTCTTTGGAAAGCGGCACAAAATCATCGTTTTCTAAAGTTCGTTCACTGCCTATCTTGACGACTTCATTCATCCATTGAAAGAAAAGGGGGGATAAAATATTTAAATTGTCTTTACTGTCTCTGTCGATGATCTTTTTGTATCCACTTCTTTTCATGGCTCAGAATCTAATGAAGATAAAAAAAAAATGACTTCATTGATTTGGTAAATGGACACTGAACTGAGGACACAAACAA